AAGAGTTAACAAACATAAAAACGAACTAAAAATATGTACTATATTTTTTAACAATATTTTTATTTTTTGGTTTTAATAAATGAATATTAATTTTAATTAAAAATTCTTATATATTGAACGAAAAATTTAATTATTATGAAAGGCAATAGCCGCTAAACATTAACAAAATAAAAACTAAACAATGTTCAAAATTACTAAAACTAATGCAGTCGCTACTTACAGTTGGCGGAGATAAATTAATTGTCGAACCACGTCTCTCTTGAGGTCCAATACTTGAGTGGCGCCGAGTTGGCAAACCACTGCCAGGTGTGCCGCCTGGCGATGACGCACACGAAGGAGCAATGCGTATTTTTGGTGTCATCAAAGTGTTATCGGAGAGTCGCCGATTTGGAAATGCATTCGCAACACGTAGAAAATTACTATCAGGTGAAGAAGGTGAAGCACCAAACCACCAACCACCCAACATACCAGAACCTAAAGATAAAAAGATGTTTTTATTAAAATTATGTATATTATTATATATTATTAAAAAAAACTAGAATAAAAATCTAGAACTAGAATAATACTATGTGTTTGTGTTTCCTTACACAACCTTACAAAATCTCTGACAGAAATATTCTTTTGTTTGTACACTTTCAATTAATTTTTGAAATACCATATTCTCTTAAATTGACTGCAAAAATATGGAACTTTACTACTAGTAGGAAAAGAATGTCCAAATATTATTAATCTATTATATTCAAGTGTAATCAACACAAGAGAACTGGTCTTGTTTCCTAAACATGGCTTGTTATGTATTTAAACTAGTTTTGTTGTATAGAAAACACCTTACTGAAACACGCTACACATAATTTATTGGAATGCGCTCGATATGGAGAAAAAATAATTCCTTATATGCATTTCTAGGAAAGTTCTCACTGTGAAGAATGCTATTCCATACTTTTGAAACAATATAGATAAATGACACGATATTGCGAAGGAATAGCGGGAATAACAATTCAACTTCGCTATGCCGAGCGTGAGGAAAGAGCAGAGTAAACAATTTAACTAATCAGAAGTTAGTTCTGATGAAGAATCTTCTGACGCTAGAGCATCATGTTAATGGTCTTCACAGTGGTTCTAGGAGGTTCAATCCATATCTGAGAGTGATAAATCTTATAGCATTAAAGCAGTAAAAAAGCTTTGTTTCGTAGTTTTTCTTCTAACTAACAAAAAAAAATATAAAATAATGTAAATAATTTAAAATATTTTCAGATAATTCCATTATCTAAATTAGGGCTGTCCAAAATAATGCTCGTGGGCCACATGCGGGCCGAGGTTAATGTTTATGCGGTCCGCGACTGCTTTACTACAATCACGTAAAGTTTCTTTTGATGTACTGGTAAAATCACAATATTTTATTTTTGTGGTATACCAAATAAAAGAATTTAAATTAATAAATTAATAAAACTAAATTTAACGTTATAACCGTATAACCGTTATAATATAATTATAATAAGAACTATGAACGTATGTATTTGTTTTTACGGGCGTTCGATCTATACAGTAATTTGTATTGGCCTGCGATCGCATCTGGTCTGGACAGCCCTGATCTAAATAAAACAATCCCTTATATTCCTAATAGTGTTATGTTATGCATTTAAATTAGGAAAATTGTAGGAAACATTTTTAAATGTCAGGACTTCACATTTTGAAATTTTTTCCTTGAAAAAAAGCACTAAACATTAAGGTTAAAACTTTTGGAGTCATTTTCAGTGTCAACTGCCCAATAATTTCGACATTGTTTTGTGGCTTTGGCTTTTGCATGTATGGTATATAACATAAAATTTATATTACAATTGCTTTAGCAACAAAAATGACTATGAATGAAAATAGAAATCATATGAAAGTAATTGTAAACTAGCTGTTATTCGTTCAGAGACATATTTATTTCCTCTGTATTATGTGTGGTTAGCTCACACCTCAACACATTAGAAGCCTTAAAAAGCAACTTAAGCTCAGTAATGACTTTTCCTGCTCACACGCAGTGAATGCATGTTCGTGCAATGACTGCAAATTACTGATTTGCACAGCAAATAATTCCAAAATTATGCCAGAAACCTAACATGGACTGTCATAACTTCTACCGCAAACTTTTCCAAATAGTATTTAACCACATGATTGTGACATTGACTTTGCAAGTGCAGACATGCATCTGTACAACCACACGTAATTTGTATACTCGTACATATGAAAATATCGGTATGCATTCATCATAGATATGCCTGCAATACATCTGCTAACCTTCCATTTTTGTCGGCTTTTAATGTCAAACAATAATGAGCTCTCGACATTTCAACATAAGCAATTCAACTCAGATACATTTGAAAATGTATAAACAAACAATAAATTTTCCAAAACCGTTGAGCACAAAATTGAAACTTTATATATGTATGTAATCTGATATTCAAACAATAAGTCAAAACTGTTATATTACAAAATATAATATCTATGTATAAAAAATATATACTTTCAATAAGTTTTAGTTGAGAAACTTTTAACAGAAAATTGCTTATTTTTCAAATGAGAAAAGTTTTATTTTATTAAAATAATTTTAATCAGCTTAAAAATGTTATTTTGTTTTATTTGCTGCATTTTCTATGGAAAAAAGTTTTCCTAATTAAGTTATTTATTTATGCCAATTTCCTTTATTGAAGCAAAACCCTTTGGTTAATTGCATTTTATTATACAAACAATAATAATAATTGCACTCTCACAAATTATATACGCACTAATTTGACTAATTATGGTATATAAAAATTCGAATACTTCGTAAGATCCCTGAAGATGAGTACTTGGTAATACTCGAAACAGCGTGGTACGGTCAACTAAATTTCAATAAATTAACCAAAATATTTGTTGTTATTTCTTAATTACTATTCAAACCTTTCTATATATTTATTTCGTCAAAAAACACAAAAAAATTTAACATAATAATAAATGAATAACTTGATATACGTATAAAAAATGTATATCGAACTACAAAAAAAATTGACAAATAGTGGTGAAACGCTACGTCAAGCCCCTTTTAAACGCTGGTTCATTGAGTTTGAGCGTGGTCGTCGTTTACTCCACAACGAATTTTGTAACGGTTGTCTAAGAATAGAAGTTATACCAAAAAAATATAGATGCAGTGCTAAAAATGATTCAGATGGATCAGTATGTTATATACGGGGAGCTAGAGGCGTCCTTGCCAATTAATGGGACCAACATACATTTAATTTTACATATACATTTAGCTACCTGTAAAATTTGTTACCGTTGGGTTCCTCATAATTGGACAATCGCTTAAAAGAAGGCACATATTAATTGGTGCAAGAAATTATTGGAAAAATATGGCCAATGTAGCTTAAATCACGTCAACGATAACGTGACATGTGACGAATAATGAATCTACGCCTATAAACTTTAAACAAAATAGCAATTCATTGTTTGGGTTTTCCAAACTGAACAAATCCAAGCAAATGGTCGTATGTTTTTTCAGAAAAATCGGTCATGTTACAACTATACTACTTGAACAACGTAGAACGGACAATTCTGAGTAGTACACGACTATTGGTTTGTCAGAAGTCTTCGGAGAATTGAGGAAAACTAACTGTTGAAGGAAGATCATCTTCCACCACGACAATGTGAGCTCCCGCACATCAGCTCAAATAAAATAGTTTTTGATCACTCGAAATATCAAATTGATGTAT